AATCAGAACCGCAAATGTGTAGGTCACGAAGAAGAGATAATGGCTCAATACTGCGTGGCAGGTTAATGGTGCCAATATCGTGCCAGTGAGAAGGAGTTGCCTGGGTATGATGCGATTGCTAATTCTGAGCCAAACATGAATGAAAATTGCAACAAACAGGGCACGCATATGAAATAAGAACATCCTGGGCTTGCCTTTCAAACGAAATAGAAGTACCATTACTGCAGCATTTAGCACCAGACTGACGCAGTTCATGGCAAAACTAAAGTAGAACAATCCGTCCTTCTCGAGCCCGTCGCGATCACAAATCCAGAAGACTTTATCCATTTTTTCCTTATTTGGTAGTGCTATCTACTACTGTATAAGGAACCACTTGGTCCATACATATATATATATGTAGTTCCAAATCGTTTGATGTCCAGCTCTGGGGTTGTTCCGAGCGACGGATGACCTTGTTACCGCGAGTTGCTATGCTACGAATAGCGCGTTACAGTAGGTTCTGTCTGTCCCTTGCATCTATGCGCTGCCTCCTTGGTATATGCTTACTTCGTGGAAGAAGTTCTGTCCTCTGTAATTGCCGTCCACGCAGACGTTTAACTCCCCCCCTCCACACTTTACCCCGGAATTTACAGTTCAGTTTTGGCTCATGCAACGCCTTCTTTTAAACCCCTCCCCTAAACTGAAGTACAGGCAGCGCGTTTTATCTCTCTCGCTCGCCTTTGCTATATTGACTCTTTGTCATAAACACCTTTAATGGATGGTTCATCCGAGATGCAACGCGGAATTTGCTCTTCGAGGCACAGGTATTAATGCTTTGCCTTTATTCTGAGTGGATTTCTGTTGACTACAAACGTCTTGCGCGCCAATGTATTCACCCTTGCCACTTTTGCAGTTCGGGCGTGCTCATTCTCTAACGTGAAGTATAAGCTATGCGTTTCATTGTTTAACATATTTTAGTTTGAAATTACTTTTAAAGGCCCGGCACCTGTAATTTGAATGTAGATGCACGTGAAAAGTTATAAATCAGTCCTCCTCTTCACTTCTCAATGCCAGTTATAAGAATGTTTTTAATTAACCATATGGCCCTGGGCTCAAAGGCGAAAGGCCCGTTTGTACATTGTCTACTTTGATGAAACGATTACTGTCTTGCTTTGTTATCATGGGTGCCTGAACTGCATATGCTACGCTTATATTTTTGAGTGCATTTGTTTTCAGATAATGTCAGGATTGCCTTGACTATAAGTCCTAGCATTAGCTATCGCATTGGCGTTTCTTAGAAGTTTTCGTAAGTTGTTCTGACAAATATGACATATGTTTTCGAACAGTTTCGTAGAACTGGAAGGCAGGCATCCCAAGAACGGTAATTTTAAGAAAAGTCGTCCTTTAGGAAAGTGAGTAAACTTATTCAGTAAATTTACGACACTGGATCCCCAGGTCGTCGTCGTCGTCAGACTTGTGAAAAGTGTGCAAAGAATAATTAATATTTCAATGTGCTGCTACAGTTATATATTCATCTAGTGTGGGCGCTAATTGGGAGTTGCAATTTGCGTCAAATCGTGGTGGACATAATTAGCAGTTGCAATGGCGTATTTACTATGTGGCAACTGTAATTTGAGTCGGTCCGGGATCAGTCCAGGTCTTCCGATGTGTGTGCTAATTGCGGTTCACGTTGGTCCATAGTTGTCGGCTTTCGTCTGTTCCACCTTTCTTTTAGGTGTTTTGACACTCCAGCCAAATCGATTCGCTGGTTGATTCAAACAATTATCGGCCTTTCTTGGAGGGGCAAACTCCGACGATGCGTGTTTTGTCTCATGCTAAGGTATGTACTGTGCCAACGCAAAGTATAGCCACTTCGGACAAACGCTCAAGTCTCTTCACGGCCACTTGGTGCTAGTGGATGCGTGTGGAGACGGGCCTTCCTGTTTGGCAGTAATATACCATGTCACAAGCTTCACCTGGCATTTCGTAGATGGCGTCTTTTTTATCGAGGTAGCCATCTCTATGAACCAACATGAACCGCAATTAGTGCTTACATCGGATGATTTGGAACTATTAACTATTTAGCAATTTACAGCTTCATCAATGGCGATCACCACTGTAGCAGGGGAAAGAGTTAGCCGCAAGGCTGACTTGCCAGTTTGTCTAATTTTAGACATGCGCGACTCGCAGTATCATGCAATAGCGAAGTGGTTAACAAAAAACTCAAACTCAAGTTATTCTAGCCAACCGCTGACAGCATGCACTAGGTAAATGCGAACTGCTGTTTATTGCAGATGTGCACCTAAGCAATCAGTGTAAAGTTCGCTTTCTGTATGCTGAGTTACTTCAGCGTTCCGAATGTTCCTGAAAACTAAACGAGTATAAAATTCAGCGAAAATTACTATCTGGAGTACTTTTTCACCACATACATTCAGTCAACTTTGCAATTACTGATTCAACAAAGAGCCCACTATTGGCCATAGCTTTAATCATTAAACCGCATCTCTAGCTTTTATAAAACCTAAGATGTAGGTCAGTTACTCCATTCTATGAAGATTCACCTGAAGACTGCTTAGTTTTGTTGTAAAATCTTCTTCCGAATGACCCGCGAATGCAATACTACTCTTTTATATCCAAAATTATTGAAATAGCGTCAATCTGCATTTAGACTGGGGATTCGATTTAAATTTGCATTTTTCTTCACAGTTCTTTCGGAGTAACCATGTGGTACTGACCAACCAAACATGAAGGTAGATTTAATAAATTGCCAAATCAAGCTGCTCTTCGTCTTTGTCGCTGTCATGCGGATGAGGATTGTTCCCATGAGCAGAAATAAGTTAACACACCTCACCCAAATGGTCTACCACCCCAAATAGACGACGCACAGAAGGACTTGGTAATGCTGATCACGACGTCGCTGCACCGTTCAAAAGTGTCTCTGTCTGCGGTATCATCCTACACTCTGTCAAATAGCTTTATCGCCCTTAGGTTAAATCTGCTTCGCTATAGTCTTTGAAACCTTTGTGCAGCCACTACTGTCGTTCGCTATCCAAGATACAGTACCCTGGACGCGAATAAAACGATCCTGTTTGTTAAGGTTCAAAGGTTTACAACCAAACGTCTGTCCGGACAGGGCTCATTTCTCTATAAAAAACGTTTCTTTTATCTTGATCAATTTCCTTTGCTTGACAGACAGCCATGTGGTGACCTAATATGAATATTTTGCATGATGTGCAGTCAAGATTACAGACTTCTATCTGATGACGTCTTCGAGTTAGCAACAACGACGAACTTGAGGCGTCATTCATTTAAAGTACATGTGACCGGGACCAGGCTATACAGAAGAAAGTCCTTAATTTGCAGGTGAGACCTCGAAGCATGGAATTCATTGCCCCTTGATGTATTTATGTCCCCTTTCATTGAAGTCTCTAATAGGAAGCCGGACCAGTTAAACGATGCCCACTATAACACTACCCGACATATGTAGTCGTCCGAAATGAGA